GAATGTCCTTGTTCCCCCATTTTGAAGGCACCAGTCGCAGAAGGTAGTGCACGGGCTCGCGATCCATTGTACATTGGACTCCTGCTGGTCGAGCCGATCGAGGTAATACTTCTGACAGGTCGCATCGGCCAAGTCATGGTCCGGGCGTCGACCGATCTGCTGGTGAGGTTGGTCATACAGCTCGATGGGTTCCAAGGCCACCATCCCAGCTTCTTTCCACCCTCGGGTGATGACGCCATGTCCTGCGAAGTATTCCCGTAGCACCAAACCCTCATGGCCTTGGGCTCCATTGATCTTCTTCATCATCGGAGGACCCCCTGCCATACATTGGGAGAGAGCCGGCAAACACGTAGTCTTCCGTAGACAACCATAAGTGTCCGGGATGTCTGCGCCACTGCCACCTCCTTTCCTGGGTTTACAGTGTCTGCATGCGATAATCCCTGGGGCTGTTTTCGCTTGATCATGCCGTTGATGCCAGAAGTATCTGAAACCTAGACACGGGGTGTGGTAGACCTCCTCCTTGGCCAGTAGTGTCTTTCCCACTGCCTCCGAAGGTGGGTGCAGCAGCGTCATGTGCCCTTTGGAAATCATAACCCACACATCCTGCTGCGTCCACTGGCTCCCAACGACCGTTTCCAGGAGAATGTCGCCCTTGTAGTCGACCCTAACCACCACAATCCGGACCTCTTCCAGGGCCGCCAAGGGGAAGACCGCCAGGGCCCGGTAATCCTTGTCGTGGTGGGGCTTGAGGATGTCATGTGCATACATTCGAAGCTCATGCTCAACGGGAGCCACCTTCGCCTCTGGGTGGCCCATGACACCTTCCGCCTCGACTGCCAACCGTGCCTGTTCCAGACGAAACTCCTGGGTCAATCGTTCCACCTCCTCCATGCCCGGTGCCTTTCCCGTCTGGGACATGAGTAGGCCAGCTGCGAAGACCTTGGTAACACACTGTCTCTTCTCCTTTTCTGGCTCGATCACCCCAAGAAGGCCTGCAAGCTCCTCCGTCATGTGGACCATTTCCCCATAGTCCCACATTGCCCAGGGCTCCTCGTCGATCTGAACCATTGCCTTGCCCGGTCCATCGGTGTCCCACCGGGTGTCTCCCGCTCTGCAACGGGCTTGATTCCCCGCCTTGGGTCCTCCTCCATGGGTTTCCAGGAGGTACGCGGCCTCCGCTGCCAGCTCACCTAGGCCGAACTGCACCATCTCCTCCATCAAGGTCTCGAACGGGATCTCAGGGTCATTCGCCACTCTGGTAGATGCCCATGCGTAGAGGTCGTCCGAAGCCTCCTGCAACTTGCTAAGGACCGGCCCATCCGCTAGCTCCTGAGCCTTCCTTACAAGGTTCTGTGCTTCTTGGGGGGCTGTTTCACCACCTCGTCCCGGATGAGGTTGAGACTCCCGTGGGACATCCTCATAGACGGTGGAGTCTGGGCCCGCGACAAGGTCAGCGAACTCCTTCTCCTGATGGGTGTAATCCACTTGGACCATCTCCTCGGGGGCTTCCCATCTCACACTCGGACGTCCGCCAGCTTTCTCATGCCCTTCACCTTCTCCGGCTGGTTGATCTCCATGTCCGGCTCGGCGACGATCTTTGCCATCCTGGACCTTAGACGCCTTGTCCTTAGCCACACCCGTCCTAATCTCCTTGATCTTCTCGATGGCCGTCTCCTTGGTCTCTGCCTTCATACGTTTCAGGCCACCTCGTCTCAAAAGCTGCAACTGGACGGCTGGATCAAGGGATTCAAAGGGTCCTTTCAGGGGTTCATGAGCTCGCTGGCAACCTTGCTGAGAACATCCAAGATGGGTCAGATACCCCCAGCATAGGAGCTTTCCATCTCTGTTCGTCGGTGCCCTGTCCTTTGCCCTCGCAGTTTCCTCCGCAGTGAGCTTCGGTCCGAACAGGTTCTTCAGGGTGAGCTTCTCCTCCTTGGATCCCCCGTCACCTCCGGCCGTTTGACCCTGAGCTCTGTTTTTCCCAGCTCCTTCCCAGGTCATCTTCCAGAGCATGCGCTCCTGCCGTCGCTCAATGCGGGGCATCACCTCGGACATGAACCACCCATCAGGCCTCCGAAGGTCAAATGTCTGAGGAAGTTGCAGTGGTGCATTGCCCTCCTCATCTGGCATCAGGGCATAGAACTTGAGGTCGCTCAAAGTCATGGACTCCCTCCCTGCCAATCGTTTGATCTTCATCAACTCCTCTTTGAGCTCTTCCAAAAATCGCCAGTGAAGCTCCTCCCACACATCCAACAGGACTTGTAGCGGCCACTTGTGAGGAGCCCCAATGTGCCACTCGCCCAGCAGGTTCACGGCGTGCTCCCGGACTGCCTTCCATTCGTTCCCGTACACGAGCGCCCAGATGTCATTCTGGCGTTTTGCACGATTGAGCCAGTCCTCATACCTGGTAGGGGCCGCTGGACGTTGCTCATTGGTTGGCTTGCCTGTCCGGCTCTCTATGGCAAACTGGTCCAACTCGGCGTCGGTGCAAGGCACGAAATCTGAGGCGCTCAGTGCATACTTTTCTTGCGTACCCCAGTATGGGCCTGCAATCCCAATGGCCAGCCTCGATGTGATCTTCTGTCTGAATCCAGCTGTCCTCAACTTGGTGGAGGATCCTGCCTGGGCCGCCAGCAAAGCTTGAGCTAGGGACGCTCCGTACTCTCCGTCCCCGACTTGCACGGTGTACTGGCCGCATGCACGGAGCAAATAGACCAGTTCTTCGGAGGGTTTGCCAAGCCCCTTCAAAGACCCCCCAGCCCCAGCCGAGGATTCCTGTTGGGCTTTGACTAACGTGGCCAACTCATTTGTTTGCTGTTGGATCGCTTTGGCGATGTCAGTCATTTCCGAAGCGGCTCCTTTCTCCTCCGGGCCGGTGCCAGCCTTCCGATCTGGGTCATAGATGCCAGGAGGTGGAATCAACGCAAGCTTCTTCTTAGGCGGAGTGTCCGCGACACTTTGGCTTTGAAGCGATCTGCTTCCCGAAGCCACACTTGAAGGCGTAGGAACAGAGCCATCGCGATCCTTCTCAATGATGCTCCACTCTGATGGGGTCGAGGGCCCTTCCTGAGCTGCGGCCTGTTTGCGCCACTTTGCCAAGAACTTGGTCAGGCCCTTGGTGCCCTTCCGCTGCTCCTCAGTCGCCTGCTCATAGAGCTGCCTGGTCAAGTCCCCCAGAGTGACACCTGACTGGGCTGCCATCTGCTTCCGGATGTCCTCCTCACTGAGCTGAAGGTCCTTGCCATCCGCGAGCTGCTCCATGAACTCCTCGAGGTAGGTCAGATCGCCACGGCGGTCAGGGGAGTTGATGAGTCCCATCCTCGCCAAACTGTGTTGGATCGACGACTTCGGAGTATGACCCGGCGATGCAACCCGTTTTCGCCTGGTCGAAGTGACAGCGACCTCACCGCCCTCATCTCGGGCCTCTCGTAGGATAGCCTCTGCCTCCTCCGTGTTGTAGGCGATCTCGCGTCCTCGGCCTCTCCGCCTCAAGCGATCTTCTCCTTCGCCTTCGGGTCGATCGTCACCTTCGTCTTCACCTGGTGGTAGTTCCCTCACCCTTGATCTCGACCGGGAAGACCTCCTAGTCGGTGTGGGCGGCTGATGGTCCTCATGGGCAGCACAGATCCTGAGCCCTTGCTTCGTCGATGTTCCAACTCGTCGGCATCCCTCAAAGGAGCACTTGGAGGAGGCCCGTTTCAGGAGGTACTGCACCGCATGCTCGGGACAGAAACCTGGAGCTTGTCCTGAGGGCAAGGCATTGAAGTCTTCCTCGAGCATGTCAACTCGGTTGGTGGCCGCCTTCTCGCACGGTCGATCTCCCAAGCTTTCTCGTCCGGCCGAGCCTTCCCAACGGACCAGATGAGCGCAGCACATGACGGTCTCCTCCGGTTCCGACTCGGAGGCATAGTCTTTCAGCTTCTTCGCTGTTTGACCTGCTCTGACATAGAACCAACTCATCAATTTCGATCCTGACCTCTGTGCTCCGGCTGCGGTGGACATCAGGTGGAACTTCTCCGGGTTCAGCTGGCGCGCCAAGGCGTAGCTCTTGAAGTGCTGGCCTTCCTCCGGGCAGCTGTCGTGCCTGCAAAGATGCACCCTCTCATATCCTTTCAAGGCCAACAACAAAGGTGGGTCGCCCCGCGTCGCCTCCGGGTCGAAGTTGAGGAACATCCCGCTGGACTTGATGGCCGCATTCTCCGTCACCTTGATGATGACCACATGGCCGTCCCGTCGAAGGAGCACCCACCTCTCCTCGTTGGCCCCCTTCTTCAGCTTCCTCAAGTCTGCCGTCTCCGGGACCTCCCCTGTGTCGGGACCGAAGAAAGTGGCCCCTGTAACCTCAGGAACTCCTCCGGCTAGTCGCTGGGTGTAGAAAGCAACTCGCCCACAGCATCTCACGCAAGCCCGCACCACCCAGACCATCGTGAGGATCGTTCCGATGATGAGGGAGCACAAGGGCCAAGCCAAGGAGAGGACGTAGTGCAGGACCAGGCATATCGCCATCAGCATGACGACCCGCAGGATCAGAGAGCATCCCGTGCGGACCTGTATCCAGTTTTGGCCAAACACCAGCCAGCCGACTCCGCTCAGCAAGGTGTCGAGGACCGTCCAAAGGAACCCATCCCAGGTCGTCAGGGAGCTGTACTGGACCTGGGCCGACGTCAGGGTTGCGTTCACCTTCTGCTGGAGGCACTCCCAAGGCTCAGTCCAGCAGGTGACATTCGGTTGGTGGTCACTCTCCAGATCCACAGAGTGCCACCAACCTTGGCCAGGGCTGATGGCCCAGCCAACCATAAAAAGCCCCCAGCGCCACCGCACCATGGCTATGCCACCCGCGTGCAAAAAGCGGCCGACTTGGGCCTTCGAGCTGCCACCAACGAAGTCGGCGTGCTTGCTCAAAAGTAACGGTTTCTAAAACCTCCAATACAATTCTCTTGCTCTGACCCTCCGGAGAATAGCTCGCGTCCCGCGCAAGCTAACGACGCGTTTCCGCGCTCCTGGCGTCGATCCAGCTCCTGCGTGCGAGCTGAACCAACGCGATCGGAATCCGCTGCTAAAATGAATGCAGTGAACATCCAACTTCAAGTAGGATAGGGGAATATATGAGATTAATAGAGATTTTCGAGTAGCATTTCTGGCTTGAAAAGTCTTTTAGATTCTTTTAGAGCCTATGCCCCAACAACGGAAACAAGGCGTCCTTTCTTCCTCTTCTCTAAAGTAAAGCACGCCGCAGCTTGTGCAAGTATCACACAGCGTCATTGCTACTTGTCTGTAGCCACGACCAGGTGTTCGCACGCAGCCTGCACCTCCCGACCCCTGGCGTCAATCTTCGGGCGGGTCGCACTCCTGGAGTGCAACTGAAGCCTTCAGCAGTTCCTGGCCGCTGACCTTGTTGCCCTTCTGTGCGGTGTTTGCTGCTTTCATGAGCTCCTCCTCGCTGGATGGACGCGGTGGTCTCACCAAATTGCCTGCGGTGCGCGGATGGTGGGGCCTCCAAGTGTGGAAGTGCCTGTGCATCCATCCGGCAATCAGATTCCTTTTTGTAGTGCCTCTAGGTTTTGCACCACACATACCCAGGACAGAATAGACCCTGCTTAGATGGACCAAGTTTCCACCCAGTAACAGGGATTGATGGTTGGTGAGGCCTCGAGGAGAAAGGCGTGGCGAAGGGTTTTACTACGGTTAAACTGTGGGGCAGGCCGGTGGTATGGAGACATGCCAAAGATTGGTCGTATTTTCCTGGGACAAGTTCCGAACTTCCACACGCACACACACACTCACATATACTGTATGTATGTGTGTATATGAATATATATATATATTACTATATGTGTGTGTGCAATTGTATGCGTAGCGATTGGTTGCATATTGTTGCATATATACTCACAACGAGAGAGAGAGAGAGACTTGTACAGTAAATGCAGTTCTGTCCGGACGGATCCTACTTTTGGTCGAAGCATGTGGAATTGTTCGGGCGCTTGCTTCAAACACCTTCACAACCTAAAAGATGCACCTCCCTCACTCCAAGGCAATGACGCACGGGCACCTTGCATGTTCCTGCTCCAGCTGTGACGATAGGTGATGGGCAATTCGAGAATCGCAAACGTCGGATCTTTCTACGTCCGCATGTCTGAAGGATCCGGCGTCCACGTCTCGACGTCGTCTCCGGGCCTATGATCCGCGGCTCCATGGTTTCGGTCCATCGCAGGCCCAGCTCCTGGCTGAGAGTTCTCACTTCAGCCGATGGAGTGGCCTTGGCACAAGGGCAGCGCTGAAGGATGCTGAAGGGCGCGCTTTCGGCTGGCTTCGGCCGGAGAAGTATGGACAGTGGACTCCATTGGAAGAAGCACCTTTTGTTTTCTCATCCGACTCTTGAGTCGACTGAGGTCCCAGAACCAGTGAGTTGCGATGATGGATACTCGATGACAAAATCGCCTGGAATCCTGGTTGGATCTGTTTGGTGTCTTTGTTGGGTCTTCACAATCTTGAAAGCCTTCACCGCCCGCGGATGTGACAAGGCTGCCATCTATTTCCTGAGTAGCTATAGGTTTTACATCCGACTGGGTGACGCTCAAAGCCGTTGGAGGAAGCGAGCGCTAGCCGCTGCCGACGGCTGATGCTTTTCCTGGGTACCTGAATTTCATGGTCTTCATGGATGTCACGTGACCCCCCAAAAAAACCTGTGCACTGACACCCGCAAGGATATCAAAGAACTCAGTAGCGCACATAGGACATGACTTCGAGAAAAAGGCAACACCTCGTGATTTCAGTGCTCCAACTTCCAGGGTCTGGGTTGAATCTTGATATGCAACCATGGAGGTGCAGCAACCTTCACTGTGGCATGATCGAACCAGATTGCAGTCAACCTTTTCTGGTCCTTGCGCACCGATGCGCGCCCCTCGGTCGATGGTGCCTGGGCCAAGTGCCGCGCGGCGGCGCCCCAAGGGCCCGGGAGCTCCGGTGCGTCGGGCGCCAAGAGTAGGGCAGCCTCACCCCAGCTGATGCCGAGCTCGAGCAAAGCATCCAATGCCTGGTGACTTGGAGCTTCACCAGTCTTGCAGGTGTCTCCAATGGGGCACTGGTAGTGTTGGACCTTGATCTTAGACATGGAATATGGAGCTTGCACAAAGAGCGCCATGTCAATGAACGATACCTTCCGATTGGAGCATACTAGAGCTCGCCGCCACCCAGTCCCCATGGCCGGACGATGGCCGCTATGAAATCACTTGCCAAGACAGGGCTGAGCTCTCTCTCCTCATTTGGTCGAACGGGCCCAGCTCTAAACGTGGTGAGGTTGGAGGCTTTAGGCGTGGCTCCAACAAACACTGCTCTTCAGGCTGATTGTCCAAAAATTGTCCAAACACATCCACCTAATTCGTTGGAGGGGTCTGGGTTTCCCGCAGATCCACTGAAGCAAGTACGGGAGCGCCAAGCTGTCCCCGACATTCCCAGACAAACTCAAGGCTCCTGTTCAACACACACAACCGTGAACATACTGCATGTGAAGTGTTTTCCGGAAACTTGAGAGACCTCTGGTGATTCAGGGTCAAGTAAACCAAGACCCAAACCTCTCACAAACCGGCCCTCCCCAAACTGGTCCTAACTCACTCAACCCCACCAGTCAAAGAGTCAAGACAGGTTAGTCCCATCGCCTGTGAATTGCGCTGGCACTCCCTTGCCACTGCGAGGCATGTCGCTGCTGAAGCCTCTGTAGCTTTCACCCCTGGGCAGGTTCGACGAAGCTGACCATGCGGTCACATGGCCGCACGGGCTTTGATCGTTCCCCTCCCTTCTCAGGCATGCACAGAGATGATGATACATCCGGCATGATTTGGCCTCACTTGCCAAGCCAAATGGTCATCTGATATTTGGAGGCTTGACCCATTCAACCCCAGCTGCACAAAACTCCCATAATCTCCCATGCGCACCTGTCTGTCGACCTTTTGCTTGCAAATCTTCAGCTTGTTGAACAGCTTCCTCAAACTTTTGCTGCCGAAGAAGGTCGATGACGCTCACCTTGAAACTCGAAAGGGTGGACCAGCTCAAAACCCAACGCGAAAGACAAATAGAGAAACCTGTGAAATAAACTCTCTCTCTTTATATATCATTATCACTTGTACTGTAATATTTGCTATGGTGGTTTCTATTTAAAATTAAATGTCTACACAAATGTGACATTTATCGCTAGAATTTTAATTGTACACTCTTGTGCTACAGTTGGGTGATTGTACCTGGGTATATAACTACTCTTGGCAAATTTGGCCCGGCCATGGACATTGTTGGGAGGTCCAGTTTCGGACTTGTGGCGCAGCTGTCCAAAAAAGAAACGACGTGCATCGGGTGTCCAACCTACCCAAGAGCTCAATTTAATTCGTCTTCCTTCACACCTCCTGCAGCCAAGGTGCCCAAAGCAAGGGTGCGTCCCCAGTTTGGGCCATTGGCCCCTCACACGCGCATCATCCAAGGAAGGAACGGTTGAACCACGGTGAAGCACCACGACTTGAGCCCATGCCCCCTTGAGTTCAAGCTGGTCACTCGTGATGTCCAAAGGCGCTAGTAGCGGAAACACATGCTGAACGGCATCTACAGCATTCTTCACTTGCCAAACTATATATAGACCTTGAGCAACAATGACGTCGCGCGAAACACATGTCATGTACTGAATCAACATGCCAAGTGGACGGGGTGCACCCAAACAAACATACTGGTACCACTCAAAAAAGGGACCCAATCAGGAAGACTTGCAGCTGTTCTCCATGTGGTATGTCTTTGAGAAGTCCTTCTCTCGTCCAACCGGACCACGCCGACACCACTGGGACGTGACCGAACACATCCGAAAACAAAGTCTTCACTCAAGTACGTAGCAACTGGATCAGGTGGCTCCGAATGGTTCTTGAGAAAATCCACGGCAGTTCCTTATCCGAAGTGGATTGCAATTGCTTTGCTGGCCCCACCAAACAGTACAATTGGTCACAGCATAGTTTAGCAGTGCAGTGCGCCTACAACCGCGGCGGCAACTCATTTGTGCTTTGCCGGAAAAAACTTGAACATGTCATGTAGGCAAGTCTCGCTTCAATGTCTGCATCTTCACAGCGCCAAATTAAAGCTAGGCTATAAACGAAATCCAGGATCCCCCTGTATTGCACACAGCATATTTTTTTGCGTCGAAGATCGTTAACATCCCTCAATCCCACAACTCCATTCTGGAGTTTCAAGTGCTGCCTCTGCTGAATACATACTTGTATTGGACACTTCCCTCCTCGACTTTGAGACCACTATACCGCGCCAGCACTCCTCCCGACCTGACACCTGGTGCCAACTTCTACCTGGCTTGGCTTTGCAATATCAAGGTTAGTCTACCGAACATTGCTCCGGTCCGACTCAACTACTGTAATTATGTTTGCTGGCTGGGGATGCAATGTCGCCCACATGGGCCTTAATGGACCTCGGAAAACACGATAAAAGCGATGGACTGAGCGGGCCATCTCGGCGGTTCATCCTTTTGAGGCACTGCTGTTTAGAGCGTTCGGTGTGTCATCAGAATAGGGAGACCCCCAATCAGCCCGGTTTCATCTACCTTTCACAGGAGGGATTTGAAGCAGAAATGTCATGGGGTTCAGGCTCAGGTTGGGCCAGGCCCTTCAAGCCTTCTTGGATTTGGGCCGGGTGGAGAGGATTGGAGGTGAGCCAACGGAACGGTTAACCAACCACCCATGGACTGGACAATTAAGTCTTGGGCTCTGAACATGCCCAGGCCTCGCAGTTTGGGAGGGAGAGGTCCACAAACTCTATTGGATGATTTGCTCAGTGATATGAGCGATTTGTTCTGCAATCGGAAGCTTCCTTTTGCGCCTGCGTGTCCTGGGGTGGTGCTGTCTCAAATTCACCTCAGTGCGACACAGCGAATGCAATTCTCAAGGTTATCAAACCACAAAAACTGGGCCAAACGCATCAACGACATATGCGGCCACATTGGCCACGGACTCTCAACACGCCGCTAAGCAACAAAAGAAACACAATGCATGGCTGTGAGTCAAATCGGGGGACCGGGGTACCCTGGCCGACCAACAAATATGAACAAATCAGACTACCAGGGAAATCAAACCAGGTATGCGCGCCATAGATGGCCGAATGGTTTTTACTCTTTCACATGACTTGTTGTGTTCATTATTCGCAGGGCTATTGGTGAGAAATTGGAACGTGTGAAGTGCATATTGGAAGACGGCTCCTGACTAGGGAGAAGGGGAGAAGAAAGAAGTGTTCAAAGCACCTTACAAAATCTTTCCAACACTACCACTTCATAACCTCAGAAACTAACACGACCTCGGTAGTTTTGCACGTCTTCAGGAGTTGCGCAAGTTCATCCAAAAAATTCATTCGGCGTGTTCCCGAATATCTGCAGAGCTTCTTTCTGTTGGAAACATTTTCGTTGCAACATATTCATCCCACAACTTGAGGCCAGAGGGGGTGAACGAAAGCTAGCCGGGCTTCCGGTGGTCTGCTGCTGGTGCTGCTGCTGCTGCTGCCGCTGCTGCGCTGGGCGCTGCTGCGCTGGGTGCTCTGCAGGCGCCGGGTCGTCTGCTGCTGCTGCTGCTGCTGGCGCTGCTGCGCTGGGCGCTGCAGATGCTTAGTGTGCTGCAGCTGCTTGGTGGTCCCGCTCACCGCGCGCAGGGGGGAGTCGAACCGCGGGGGGGGGGGGTCCATAAGATTGATTTAATCAATTATTTGAGGTTTCTAAGGTGCGTCCACCCCGTCACTTAACTTGCTAAAGCAAGAGCAACTCCAGCTAGCTAAGGCTAGCTTTCGTGACAACATCGAAGCAACATTTCGGTCAAGTACGGTAAACACATGAGAAGTCAAGGTAGCAACGGTCAGGGCCCAACACAGTGTTAAAACACTCACGTCCTAAGGTCTGCTCGTGTACCGAAGTTCCTAGAGAAACCAAAGAACCCAAGTAGATAACATCGACTCGCTTCTTTATAGCCCAAGAGTATGCCATGTGAAAATCTACTCTGGTCTTCTTTGTGGTTCATCCGCTGAGACAGTGCCTGCATCGCTTCGTGGTTGTTTTACTTGTATGGCCACTCTGGATTATGGTCTAGGTACCCACGCATCTCAGCATTCTGGCTCCTCAGTGACTCAGAACGTCAAGTTGATCAAGAAGCTTTGCCTTTTCAGGCTCCATGGATCCAAGGCCTTTTGGTCCCGCAAGGTCGACAGGGACATCTGGTTGACCGTGCTCTTGAGGTCCTGGATCATCTCTCGCTGCTCTTCCATCAACGCCTGATTTCGTGACAAGGAGCCTTCACTTTGGCGAAGCATATTCCATCGTGCCTTCCAAAGCTCCATTGGCCAAAGAATTCTCTGCCAGTGCGAAGGTCACGGCTCGCATCTGGATTACCATAGTTCGCATCTTGCTTGGTGATGGATCATGCGGAGGTGCAGCATTTGGAAACTCTTGATCCAAGCGAATCACTCCGGGTGATTCTGATGCCCGTGGTCCTCGACGAGGTCTTGAACGATTCATCAAGTCGTTCATGGGTTCCAGGGTTGCGTCAAAATCCACCATCGGTTCATCATGTGACGCAGATCACCCTTCTTGTTGGCTCCTCCAACGACCAGCAATCCGACTCCATTGGTGAAGTGGTTCATGAAGATCTTGGACTCCAAACATCTCAAAGCCGGATTGCCACCAAGCTGGGCACAAAGAGCTTTTCCTCCAATCGACTGAGGAAAGAGGAGTACTCACCTTGGCAAGCATGGCGTCCCTGCCACCAAACACCAGATATCCCTGAAACTTCCGTACTCTTTTTAAAATCACATTTCGCGCGTCACCGGCCTTGTGCTGAGGAACGCAGTGTTGTAGTAGATCTCGAAGTGTCTCAGTGCCAATGAGGCCGGATGCAGCTCCTGGATTGTCACGTCCAACTAGTATAATGGGACGGATTTTTTCGCAAACATATTCGCGCGCTCTGAAAAGTTTAATGGGACAGAAAAACAAAAACTTACCCAGGGCGTTTTTAAATAACTTTTTTGTCTACTACTAAGACTACTACTGCTACTGCTACCACGATGACGACTACGACTACTACTACGACTACTACTACGACTACGACTACTACTACGACTACTACCACGACTGCGACGACGACTACTACTACCACAACCACTACGACTACCGCTACCACCAACATGACACTACTAGTACTACTACTACTACTACCACTACTACCACTACTACCACTACTACCACTACCACCACTACTACGACTACTACGACTACTACGACTACGACTACTACGACTACTACGACTACTACCACTACCACTACCACTACCAGTACTAGTACAACAACAGCAACTACTACTACGACTACTACCCACTACTTACTGCTACTTCTACTTCTACTACTACTACTACTCCTACTGCTCCTGCTACTCCTACTCCTACTACTACTACTGCTACTACTACTACTTCTGCTACTACTACCTACTACCTTGCTACTACTACCTACTACCTCCTACCTCCTACCTCCAACCTGCTACCTACTACCTCCTACCTCCTACCTCCTAGCTGCTAATTGCTACCTGCTACCTACTACCTACTACATACTACTTACTTATACTTACTCCTACTTGCTCCTACTTACTACTACTGTCAACTACTTACTGCTACTTATAATAATACTACTACTACTACTACCACTACCACTACTACTACTACTACTACCACTACCACTACGACTACCACGACGACGACGACTACTACTAGTACTAGTAGTAGTAGTACTACTACTACTACTAATACTAGTACTCAAACTGAAACTAACTACTACTATTACTACGACTACGATCACTAATACCACTACTACCGCTACTACCGCTACCACTACCACTACCACTACGACGACGACGACGACTACTACTACCACTACGACTGCTGCTGCTGCTACTACTATACTACTACCACTACCACTTGCGAGCGACGCGAACGGTCTTGACCGCGACGACGGCCAAAGGCGCACGCACGTGCAGCTGTTTGTCGCTCGTGAGTTCAGTCCAAGCGGTCGTTCGTGCGGTGAAACAGAGCTAAGCGGCTACCTACAGCTACCTGCGGACCTCAACCTTGGCTTGAGCCAAAAAGTGAAACACATGCAATTCGCCCCTCAGCCGGAGGGACTCTCAGCGCCTGCGGCTGCTTTCAGCTGCGTAGCCCGCGGTGACTGACGGTCCGAAGCGTGACACGCCACCAGCAGGGCTAAGCCAGACGGGTCAGTCCCTGGATGCGGAACTGCTCTGCTTCCTCCCCGTCTTAGGTCTGTGGCGCTGTGAGGACTGGAAGTCGGCTTCGTCAAACACCTGACTCTCTTCCCAGTCCTCCTCAAAGTGCTTCCTGCAGTCCTGGAACACCTGGTGGTCCGCATCGGCGGTGATCAGAACCTGGAGGAACTTGACTGTCCGGCGGGGTCTTCTCCGACCTTCTGCCCAAACAGACGGTAGACCGTAAGATCGGCCTTGACCTCGTCCCACGCCTTCTCGTCGGCTCTTTCTTTCCACATCTGGTTCATACGCTCGGATATAGGGCCACGATTTCCTTTTCCAGCGCATCCCTTGCTTCTTGAACCCAACTTCTCCGTGGTGACAACCTCTGAGGGTGTCACCCCGAGCAACCAAGGCTGGCGCCTCAAGTAGCTGCGGCGCAAAGGTCGAAACGACCCCTGCACCCGCTGGCGTAGAGCTAGCAGGCCCAGGATCTGACTTGGCCCTGAGGCACTTCATATAGCCCTCACAACACAGCAAAATGATCCATTGCGCAGTCGAGTGTGCAGATTGGCAATTGAGTCAAGCCAATTTTCCAAAGTTTTGAAAGTGGTCCGCTAAATGAAAGAATGAGAACTGACTGTCGCGATGCGCTGACGCGTTTTTGGCAGGCGCAAGCCCCAGTCGCCTATATGGTCTTCATCGCTGACCCAAAGAAAGTCAGCTCTTTCCGACACTAAAGTACGAATTACAAATTACACAATCTCATACAATCATCAGCTGGGCTCCGAATCATTCATCCTCATGGCATCATCGTCCTCCATAGGGAAAGCAATCATTCTGCGAAGCTGAGGCCGTGCAGACGGCTTTGTGCTTGCCACTTGCTGCCCCCCTTTGCGAATAGATTCCAAAGCCAAGAAAATTTCGTTGGCCAGAAGCAGTGCTGCGTGGCCATCCTTATGATCAGACATTTGACACACTGAGCTGGATAGTAGTTTGCAATATCATTGCAATTTATTTGACACATGAAATGGTTTGTTGCCCAAGATGCAGTCTTCAAATGCGTCTCGCAACGTTTTTCGAGCGCATCAACTCCATAAATCTTGCACTTGCACATCTTGATGACATGGCAAGCGCGAAACTGTCGGACCGTTTTCTTCACCTTTTGTTTCTTCAGCTTCTTCGGGCCGAACAAACTCGACTTCAGGTCAAACAGACTCACTCAGCTGCGCAATCAAGACCGATCCAAGTATTCAAACATGCAGCAAAACATATAGTGATCTTGGTTCTTAATGCGAATAGACGGTCGAAGTCTTGCCGCAACCATGTTTAGCTAGAAAACAAACGCTTGCAAAATCGATGAGAAATAGTTCATATCTGTCGTAGCTCTTTTTCGCAGTCATTGCGTGCGCTCCTGAGATGAAGCCCCATGATGCCTGTACGAGAAAGACACAGAGAAATGGCATGCTGACTCGCCCTCACAGCCAGTCGAGGCCCAACAACCACCAACCTTCAACACCACAAAGCACTTGCCACCCTCATTCACACAGCTACTTACATCGACAGAGCCGAAGCTATCTACAGCCTTATCAGCCTTGGCCTCCTTCACCTGACTGCACTGTTCACGTACCCCTCCAACACACACACACACACACCGATCAAAACAATGGCGTCACAGATTCCAGCAACTCAGTCTTCACCCAGACAAAAACACTTATGCCAAATCCCTCCGTCTACATCAAGCTCCACTTCAACTCCCATGACGCCCAGAGATGCTATCACCAGCATGGCCACTTTTATGGGCTCCACCGCCATCGGCAATCCTCACCGAGAACGCAACCGGCGAACCAAACTCAACCAACTCTCACAACACACCCATCTCAGCAGAACTCTCACTACGATACTGGCACTCCACAGGCACCACCACCCACTATTCCACAATACACATCGCCAACTATACCTCTACATCTCCCAATGGCAACCCACACTCAATTGGCCCTTTGTATCACAACACCTCAAACTCAAAGCGGACGGATGGCAATTCACCCGCCATCTACCCCCCACTCGCCAACCACTACAGGCTTTTCAGACGGTTACGACGACGGCTCCACACTACCAAACAACCTGTATTGCACCTCCCACAAACTTCACGCGCTCACCGTCCTACGAGATCTAACCAAGTCCACCAGAGCGTCTTATGACGCAGCACGTCGTCTCAGGTCTGGTCAGTATTCGGACCTTGAAGTCTATGCCATCCGACGAATGGCAACCAGCCTCGAAGAGCCAGGACGCAGTCGAGCCATCCACATCATCAACGAGGCCCTGAAGTACCGCAACCTTACACCTCCCAAGACCAACCAACCCCTCACAATCCCATTCCTAACACATGACACTTTCCAACACACCACTCCACGCTGGCTCACAACTTTGCTTCACCAACGCAAACAGCATGCCATTCCATTTCACCTTCAACACCTGCCACCAACGGCCACCTTATCGTCACCCTTCTCTACCAAACGACAGTGCTTTACCACCTTTCAGAAAGCCATGACTAAATGGCTGAAACACAACGGCCTACCACCTGCACTCACCCATTTGGCTGACCACTTCCTTGCCATACAATGGCAGCAGCATTTTACAACATCTCCGCCATGAACCCAGATTCACAGCTCGCTCTATCAAGCAACTCCAACAGTTTCTTGGTGACAAAGTCGTCCTCCACCAGGCTGACCACGAACTCCAACACCTTCGGATATTTTGCCCCCAGATCTACTTCAAAGGATGCCTTGCCACATGGCAATCCCCGGAACTTTTTGAACCACTTCTTCACCAAACCTCCGACACCATCATGCACCTGCTCCAGCAGGCATTTCCAGTCCAGCTCCGCAAGAAATACAAATGGGGCTTCCGCCCCAACTGTACCATGCCATATGGCATAGTCCACCTCAAAGCAAAGAAGCAATGGCGAAAGGGCCGCGCTATCATTTCCTACTTTCAATCACACTTTGGCACACTTCTACGAGGCACATCCACAGCCATCACTACCATGATCCTCCGCCTCTTGCCGCAAGCACCAGGTCAGCTCTCGATTCGACAGCTTGGGAAACACTTCCATGACTCCCTCAATCACATCACATCACCCTACATGCCGTCAATGATGACCTCGTGGGATTCTTCAACTCGGTCCCACAGGATCGCCTTCTTAACGCAGTCAAGAGTTTCACCACCAAATGGAATCTCACCTATGACACTCCCACCCTCACCATTGACATCCTTGCCACCGGCAATCCACCTTTCTCAACCACATTGCCATACAAACCCCCATACACCGTACACCCGGATTTTTTCGGAAATCTAGTCGAACTTGACATTGAGCCTGTTGAAGACATGCACCTCTTGGGTTTTGACGTGAACCTCCCTCAACGCACAATAACTTACATTCCGCCAGATGCCCCATGGAAGATCTGCTCCAACGCCTCAGCTGGCTCCCAATGACTACGACTTTCCGGTCTTAACTCCCGCGCCCACTTGATCCGCAACTACACCTACCCGGCCTCGGCAGCTGAGCGGGCGCTCGCTCATCTCGCCCACCTATACGCCCAAAAAGGGCATGATTTTAGATATTGCCAGCGAGTGATCTGCAGAAAAAGATCGATACCGATTCAGCTCTTCGCTGTACATTTGCAGAACGATGAGGACCTCCCACCGCTTCCCTCCCCCCTTTCCAATTCCACCCCAAGAGTGCGCCGAATGACGGCTTTTTGTGTGTGTCCACACCTGTCTCCAAGGATCTCGACTACACTAAGGAAAATACTTGCCATATCTTGCCATTAATTCGGTTCAGATTTCTTTTTACCCATATATACGCACATGTATAGTGCAGGGGGATGCCGGAGATTTCCATGGTCGGCATCCAACGAAGAGACCATGGATCTCCTGTGATATGAGTCAAGGACGCTTGACTCACGCACCTGCTTTGTGGCGTTATCAAGCTGTTACCCTCATCTTCCCGTAAAGTGCTAGTGCGATTTTGTTCAAACATTCAGTTGATGCGGACTCAGCCACCCTTCTGTTGTGCAAGTCAAGGTCTAACTTCAGTAACGTAAAGTGCTAATCTCAATGGGGTGTCATAACTGATACAGCTCTTGCGAGCCCTGATCTAAGTGTGTGTGTCTGTGATGACATGTTGAAGCACATGTGCGCGTACGAAGCGAACACAACATAAAACAGTGAAAAATAAAGAACACACCACGGCCATCTACGGCGCGTGCTCAGGGTTTGGGGCTCCAGGTTTTGACTCACACCCACATGTTTGAAGGGCCCCCCCTCGCAGGAACAATGGATTGTTGGCAAGCACCTCCAAAAAGACAGGTGATGCAACATGCCAAATGCTATTGATGTCAAAAGCCAAGCCTACACAATGCCAGTGTATGTCTTGAAAGACCTTCCACCCCCCGGGAACAAAACCAGCAAAAAGCCAGTGGTTGAAGGGTTTCCCGTTTCTCGCGAGTCCGTGACTAGGACTAGGAAAAAGCCTGAAAAAGAAAGGGCCTCTCAGTTCTATATAATTGGCCCAACCTGCGACAGGAGACACGACGGACGTGGGCCCGATTTTGACGACAGCATGCGACAGCTCAACACCAAGGTGGGAGAGATCAGATCAAACCACAGCAAATTTATTGGCACCTAAAACGAGACAGAAACCGCAAAGAAGTACCATTGTATATATAAGCTGAGAAAACCTCTTGCCCTCCCCAATGCCCAAGAATCTGTGGAGCTGACAAGGCGCGGTTCGAGTAGAGCTTCAAGCACCACCCAAGACAGCTTCAAACTCCTCGACGCGGGTCACCGTTTGGGCAAGGATTCTGTGCCGGCCGCGAATCCTACCACTCAACGACTCAACACCACCATCTGAAGCACTGCTTTTTATACATGGTAATGCTGAATGCTCTGCAGGTGTGATGCAACACAAGTGGGAGGGAATGAGATGCTCTTTGGAGGGATGTCCCGTGTGAGGTCTAGCTTATCCACCAATCGGTGTTCTAACTGTTACCCAAAACACGGAACATGGTGCCTTGGAATGAGACTCGCATCCAGTGCATCCAGTGGCGATTTTGCGCATGATTCGGATCGCATATGCTGCGACTGCATTCAACTACGCTTGGACTGTTTCTACTTCGTTCAAGCAAAGACCTCTTGCATGCAGGAAAAAAGCCTCAGGGCCTCTGACCCATGCTTGAAAGAAGGTACCAAGAGCATCAAAAGCCCTAAAGCCAACAGCGGAACCTGGACCCAACAATGAACCTGCTTCCATTGGTATGCAAACAATCCCCACACAACAAACATGCCATGACTGCTATGAAGCAAGCTTCTTCCACATTTCCTGCACCTTGTGAGGAGTTGCTCGACTCGGGAAAGATCATTCTGCACATGTACATGTACAGTACTCCATCGGAATCAGGCAAACAACAATCCAAGCCAACAGCTTTCTCACAATGAATGAACAGTGAATTGAGATGAATTGACCGCACTGCTGCAAATACATCGGAAAGTGCAGTGTGCATCCAAATATCCAACTATGACTCGGACCGTTGCACCTGCTCAAGTAGACAGATTTCGGCCACATTGCTTGAGCATGCTTCACATCTTCCGCGTTTTTGCGTTCTTCAGTTTGACATCACGCGGAAATGATTAGCCCTGATCACTGCGGATCAGTCTGCCCGTGGCCCTAATTATGCTGCAGCCAGTGCAGCCCATGCATATCAGGGGTTATTACATGGACATCCCTGCGACTGAGAGGTGACTGTTCCGGGCTGTTCATACGAACGGTCTGTCTGTCAAGGTCTGTCACTCTGTCATGGTCTGTCAAGCCTGCCCCTCGACCAGTCCTCACCAGTCTATCGACTCGGAGCCGATTTGGATGGATGCCGGGCGGAATGAGACCATTGAATCTGGTCTCCAGCGAGTCCAGTTGGAATGTCGGACAGGCCACAGCTGTCCAGAAAAAGAAGTATCTATTCAATTTGCAAGCAATGGATGGCGACCACATATCCTCTAACCTGCAACATGTCTGCAGTGCAAATCCACTTCTTCAGCTTGTGAAGACGTGGTTCAAAAGGGCTTAGCACTTGCGAAGTCAAGTGGATGACTGTCTGTTGAAATCCTACAAAGCTCAAATAAATGTCTTCACCCACTCTCTTGGTCTATGTTTGCACTTGACGAACACGCCTTTACGCCGCAGAACAGGCTGTGAACATGGGTCGGAATCACTTGTGCAAATTGCCGGACCTGAATCAGCCCAGTGCTAACACAGTTTGTGACCGAGGAAAGGCCATGCTTTGGCAGGACCTCCACTTGTCTGAATGTACTGAGCATCTGCAGTACAATAAGTAAACAGTTTCATCCTGGGACTTTCCGCGTGAACATCACTAGCCGCACTAGCCAGTAGGACATGCTGTGATCTTCGTGCTTGTTGTCACAACCTCCTACAAAACACAACCAACATGCAAAATGCAGAATCCTCATGTGCGAGCTTCCGGCTCACTCGGCAATGTCTGTCGGTGTGTGTTCCTGAAAGGCAGGAAAGGTCCTGTTTTTCAAAACCTCCTGCCACAATTTGGCCCACGACAAGAGAATCGTGCACGCCTACGCCCAAAGAATCACGCCCACATCGACACTCTCGTCAGAGCGGCACGCTCTGGCTGAAAAGAGCCGACCCAAAAGAGTGGAACCCAGAGGGCTTGGTTTTTCACCGGAACGAATCGCTGACTACTTCTCAAGATTGCACCGCAGTGAGGTATATTCCAGGACTGAATCCCAGCAACCCCACTGCACCTGAAGAAGCATTTCCAGGATTCTTAAACAACTTGACAGAAGGCCGTGGTCGCATTGACGACACCGCAACACCAGTCACGTGAAAGAGTTAATTGCCATATGAGTTGGGCAACACGAGCTGTGAATACGACTTGGCCGACCAATGGATGTGAGTCATTGGCGCACATCCACTCAAAGATTTCACAAGGAGAATCGAATATCAGCCCGACAGCCCAAAGATGTTGCTTCACCAGTTGGCCTTACAGCCGTTGCCCCAGCTCGGTGAAGATGCTCCTGAGGAGACCACACGGCTAGCGGGAGACGACCCCCTTAGGAATGCTCTTTGCAAAACCGGTGCTGCAACCCTATGGACACAAATGCTTCATTGAACGGCTAGTCAGTGATCCCTTGGCTATGCATCGTTTGACGAGATCCCAATAAAACATGTCAAGCAAGTGGTTCATTTCACGCGCTTTGTGTTGGAAGGGTTTACACATGAATATGAATATAAAACCACATGGGTCAATTCAACATATAGATGCACCAATGCACAATAGTGTATGCAGAAACAGTCTGGATATATATATATATATAGTCTTCATGTCTTCCCGGCTTCCGAGCACTCAGCAAAACATCAGCAAAATCAGGTTCAATACAGTATCTCCAATGAATCAAGTTGTCTGTTTATGAAGCCTCACCATCCAGGACGCTGTGATATGCCATGCTGAGAGCACCTACAGCACCAGGCCAAGCATCAGTCAGGAGGGTTAAGGCAATGGTCCGTGCATAGAGGTGCCTCCGCGCTTCTGCTTGCAATGCATCACGTATTTCCTCAGGTCCTGTGTGCTGTATGACCACGTGGTATTCACAAATTAGGTCCCTGTTTGCAGAACGTATTCCACAGAAATTTGATGATATTCCAGATTCCATGATATTCCCATCAAAGTCTACCCAAAAGTGCCTGAACATTGGACATGGCTGGACATCGTACTCTCACGAGAGCAAGGCCCAAATCTGATTCTTCATCTGTGGTGTTCCAGCCCCGACCTGAAATTGCCTTCGCCCTTCCCCTCCAGTCCCCTCCAGCCCCGAATCAGTCCTTGCTCTGCATTTAAGAGGCCAAGGTAATACCTGTTTTGGAGTGCTTAGTTACAGCGATAGATCCGAGAGGCGCAGTCCAAACACATCCCGAAAGTTGGTGGATGTCCTTCCCTTCCCGGTGGTTCCAGAGCATCGTGGAAAGGCCGACCAAAGTCCAACCACCCGCATGGACCCAAGCATGCCGCAATTCTAGAGGGCTTCTAAGATCACCAGCCCAACATCGTCATCTCCAAGTGACAGCGGGGGGGTGCAACACGAAACGATGGTTTTTGAACTTGGGTGGGCCAAGGGATCTTGAAGGCGGTGTCTGTCGCATGACCCAACGTTCGGAAGCAACCCACCTTGTCAATTATGACTTTTCCAAATTCGTTATCGAACCAGAGCGACGGGGTTCCTATAGGAACATTCGTCATGGTTCCTACTATGTCCATATGCACCACAAGCATTGTGCCAACTGCAAGATTGTCACCTCTACCATGTGTAGGGCCTGGGGATGCTATCAATGTATGGCTATGTATGGCTTGTTTCATCACTCATCCTTGAAATCTTTGCCACTGTCCTTCCAAGTTTTATGGTCGCCTTTGAAGAAGTATTGGATCCTGAAGCAAAGGCGCGAGAGCTTGTTTTGTCCACGTCAAAGACCATGATCATGACCCCCTTGGGGAACGAACTGTTTCAGAACCAAACCGACCAACAGAGGTCTTAGGACGATGTCTTATGAAGGAATTCTTGTCTTCTTGCCCGGTCCATGCAAGGAGGCATGGACGTGAATTCGAGAATTCCGGCACCTCACCCTCAAGTGCGGAACGCCGTGTTGATGGAGGAAAAGGTACAAAACATGTCATGGCAGTCAAAATAGGGGCTTGAAGAGTATAGCGCAGTAGCTTTGACATGCGCTTGTGGCAGTACCTAAACAAGTCGCAGAATCGTCGCAGAGTTGAAGCGGCCGCAACATGCAATTGCGGGGTTTTGTCAGGCGCCAGCGGAGCCACACATTCCTAAGACTGTGGCCCGCATTGTGGACACACTGAACCAACGCACTGGCGATTGTTCCGCCAAACAAACATATGACTTGTCCCGCCACGGCCCGCCAATTCCAGCGCTGGATTTGTGAATCTGGCATGGTCTAGCAAGACTCTGCGGCACTGCGCTGAAGACCCGCGTCTAATTTGAGCTCGCACTGCGTTCACAAATAGATGGGCAACTGAGGTTGCATCCGATATGGTCAGTTGGCGGTGATACCAAGAAGAAGCTATCGAATTCTAGCGGGGCGTGCGGGGCCTATTGGGAAGAGTCGTCGAGGCCTAACACTGGCGGGATATCTTTTTATCCAGCGCACTCCAGCGCTCTGGCCGTGTATGTCTGATCTGACACTTCCCATCTTTTGCTTTGTGAGAGGGGGCCATGCTACACCTGCAGCTAGCCCCCAACATCCCCAACAACACGCTTTCCCCAGCTTCCGGCAGAGAGCGAAACACTGCGGGAACGACCGAAATGAGAATCGAAAGGTCAGCTTGGCCACGTGAGATCGCGCTGCCCTTGGCGTGACAAAAGCAAACAAAGCCCTCATGAAGCGCGCCCCTGGACACCCAGCACATCGACACCCAATCAAACAGCCACAGCACTCAGCTGGAGTTGTTGCGGGCGATGCCACCTTCCCCCCCCATGTCATCATCTCCGCCATGCTGGCCGAGGCCACTTATACACTTGGTCTATCTTGGTCGTGGGCCTTGCACGCCGCAAAGCTGGGTTGGAACCAACGAGTGCCCTGCTTGAAGTTCACTGTGGGAATTGCACTTGTAAACGCGCTGCTGCGGTTGTATTGGGTGTACGGACGCGTGGGCAACCTGCTCTTGATGGCTCAGCCAAGCACGGCCGTGGTGTGGGGCTGGCATGCGCGGCGGTGACAATGGGTATGAG